TTTCTGTGTTAAGTTGTGGAAGTCTGTTAAAAGATTACTCCTGTTACTAGACCAAGCATATATATTATTTAAGTCCTTTATATCCTTGAAAACTAAAAGTGTTGCCTTCTTGGAGTAGTTTGGTGGAAGGCACTTGTTTGCAGCATGCTTGATTTTGCTATTTGTGAATAGGGCCATGTGGCCATACAGGAGGAGTCATGAGATCTGTGGACTGTCAAGAGTGAGTTCCTTACGTAACCTAGAGACAGAAAATTAGGAAGTGAGGAGCTGGGCCTGAACAACCCACCCAGACTTCTTGAGTTTCCAACTCTCCACAGTAGGAGACTTTTGTCCTAGTTATCAAGGGAGAAGGCTGCTCTAGGAAGAGAGGGTTTGAATTTCCTTCTAGAATGTGTGCTTCTTGGCTACAGTCTGATCCCAGGTGACTGCAACGGAAGCTTTCAGGGAGATGGAGGTGTTCACTATGGAATAGGGGTCTCATTCTTGCTCTTGTGTTTTGTCCTCCACCCCCACAGTGGGCCACCCTGAGGATGGAGAGAGGAGCCAAGGAGAAGAACCACCAGCTTTACAAGCCCTACACCAATGGTGAGATTGGCTCTGGGTCCTTCTCCTAGGAGGTTATTTGAAGAGATTCCCCGGTGGGGAACACATACTCTTTAATTACACACATACTCTTCCCTACATAAAACATAGCATGTGTACTCAGAGTGTGTCTCTTTGTGCTCTCCCAGCATGCTGCTTGATGGGAGCATACTTTTTTGCAGGAATCATTGCAAAAGATCCCACTTCACTAGAAGAAGAGATCAAAGAAATCCGTCGAAGTGGCAGTAGTAAGGCTCTGGATAATACTCCAGAGTTTGAGCTCTCCGACATTTTCTACTTTTGCCGGAAAGGAATGGAGACCATTATGGATGATGAGGTGACAAAGAGATTCTCAGCAGAGGAGTTGGAGTCCTGGAACCTGCTGAGCAGAACCAATTATAACTTCCAGTATATCAGCCTCCGGCTCACTGTCCTGTGGGGGCTAGGAGTGCTGATTCGATATTGCTTCCTTCTGCCGCTCAGGTGAGGGCAGGGCTTGTAGGCACACAAGGCTTGAGCTGCTGTGCCTCAGCCCAACGCGTGCCTACCTGCCTGTCTCTGCTGTTTTTCTGTTTTAAAAAGGAAAATAGAATGAGTCTGTCGCTGGCCAGGGCATGTGACTCTTGGAAGGGCATACTGGTGATTCTCCTTTGAAGGCCCTTGGATTCTCTGCATATCAGACAGAAATAGTTAGGTTTGTTAAAGACAGATTGCTTGTCTATACAAACTAAGCACAGGGCCAGGAACATCAAGTACTTTCTGGCTACTCCTTCCTGGGCATGGCTCATCTTTTCCTGAAGCTTGCCTCAGGTACAGAGGCAGTATTGATCTCTCAGCTTCTTTGAGATGTCTTTCCAGATGCTGGTACCTTCAGGCTCTACCTTCTATTGCTTCACAGAGAAGCTATTCTTCTGCCAGGGTTTCAAGCCAAAGGGAAGGGTAAGACAGCAGGGTAGCAGTTCCTGTGGGCAGAACAGCCAGCTTGAGGACTTTCCATTGCTCTTTCTGGCCGATGCCCGGGATAGGGTGTCAGCCGAAAGCCAGGACCATGCATGGTTCGCTCTCAGGTTAGAATCAGAATGATATCTGGTTCCGACAGGCCTGCTTATGTTTCTGATCCAATCTTGGGGGGGTGGTTTTTATGATGTCCATTTTCATGTGTACACATTCATTTCTGTGCTTAGTGCAAGGACTTGTATTTTAACGTGTCATCTTCTTACAGGATAGCACTGGCTTTTACGGGGATCAGCCTTCTGGTGGTGGGCACGACTGTGGTGGGATACTTGCCAAACGGGAGGTGAGTTATCTGGGAGAGTCTGTCCTCAGGGTGGTTGGTTCTGGGAATGGTGCTCAGATACTAAAAGCCAGGCCATTCTTTGGATACAACCAAACCCGTACAATCTTAAGTGGATAGAGTAACTTAGTAGTAACAATGTCATCTGCAGTAACATCTTTTTAAAAAACT